TTCTCGATAGGCTGGGCGGCATAAGATGGATGCTGGTGGCCTGCTTTCCGGAGGGGCCGGTGGTAGGATGGGATGAGAGATGGTTTGGACTTGGTGCTTGAGTGGCCACCAAGGGTATAGTTCCTAGTTTCCTGGGTAGCTCACTGTGGCGGGAGGGGGGATTTTATTGGTGGACAAAACAGTTTATCCAGCTGGCAAAACTACCTGCCCAGAAGAGGAAGATAAATTAATTTTGGGGGGACCTGTTACTTTTGACGGCCTGTAGGAATCTAAAATGGCAATCGAAAAGGTGATCTGGAGCTCAGAAACATGGTTAGGGATGTAGAACCTGGAGTCACTGGCATGTGGGTGCTAACTGAAGTCGTGAGTGTTGAGGATATCATCCAGGGAGCGTGTATGGGCAGATCTGGGTTTAAAAATGAGCACCTATTATGTTCTCAGTCTTCACCTAGGAACTGGGGACAGAGTGATGACCAGGGCCCAGACAGAAATGCCCCAGTCCACATGGCACTGACAAGTTCTAGAGAAAGATTCCGAGAGACATAGATTCCAAGGGGACCGGATTCAGGGCTTCTCCCCTGCCCCTGGCCCCACCACGCCTGCCTCCACTTGTCCTGTGTCCCATCTCGGGCCTCTGTTGGGAAACCCCCCTCTCTTCTTCCTGCCTCAGGAAAGAGGGCCCTGCTTTCTGTCCTTCTCCACAAGCACCTCTGCCCTTTTCTCTTTCCATCCGTCTGAAAAGGCGGCTGCCTCCGTCTGCGGCTGAGATGCAGCAAAGAAACCAAAGTCAATTCAGCTTTTTTTTTTTTCCTGCAATACAAGAGACTGGGTTTGATCCCTGTGTTGGGAAGATCCCCCGGAGAAGGGAACAGCTACCCACTCCAGTATTCTGGCCTGGAGTAGTCCATGGACTGTATAGTCCACGGGGTTGCAAGGAGTCGGACACGACTGTTTCACTTTCACTTTCTTTGAGTGACTTTTCAGTTCACAATAAGTGGAGATCTCTAAGCCGTGGCCCATGGTAAAGAGGAAATCATTTGAGGTGTGGAAACAATGTCACTGCTCAGAGATGTTGTATAAACCAGGGTCACCTATATAATAGCAGAGCCAGTTAAACAGATCACTGAAAAGGATGTTAAAGTTTTACTTTTGGATAATTCATTTTGTATAAAAGTTTAACTCCCCAAATGGGAGTTTTTCTGTGTCATCTAGCATATGAAGGGTCATGTCTCGATATCAGGAAGAATTTTAATTTAATGTTAATCTAAAATCAGATAAAATTGCTTGAATCTACTGTCAAGGTGAGGATAGTGTAAGTGATTCAGTGCATTCAGAGGGCATCTCTACTTTATTCTTGCAATTAGCCCCTCGGGATTATTCATAAAATTGACCTCTTCATTAGCACAGTAATTGTGCTCTGCTTCTAACCGACACTTCTACACAAGGTTGGTCTTAAGAGGAACCAAGCAGATGGGTGCTTCCCTTGGTAAAGATGATGGGCCGCCCGGGGGACTCCCCTAAAATTCTGATGATGAATTCTGAAGCTAGAACTTTATCCCTTTGCTTTGTGAGTTTGGCTCTGTTCAAAGACAAACCCTTCAAGGAAAAGTAATATTTTAAACTACTGTAAGTCATCTTTATTGTAGTCCAACTTGAAAGAGTAAGTAAAAGCTGTCAATTGGCAGCGCCCTTTTTAATTCTGGTACCAAACGTACAAACCTGCATACAACACACTCCTTCCTACATCCTGCTGTCAAAGTGAAGAGCTGTCCCTCCTCCATCTGAATGATAAAGTCTTTTCTGCCCCTGAAACCCCAGCCCTTCCTGCTTTCTCAGGACTCCTGCACTGTCCACAGAGCCTTCTCCCTCCTTCAATATTTAACTTCTCACCATCACCACCACTACCTCTTAACCTGGATTCTTTCCATTAAACATAGGCAGTCTCTTGTCACTAAAAACGATGAAATCTCATCTGAGCCTCCTTCACCTCCCACACTCTGGTCCCATCAAAACCGGCTTCGTGGCAGAGCCCTCCTTACCTCTTGGGTCCATTTCCTCACCTCTCTTCTCACCCACTGCAGCCTGGCTTCCGTCCCCACTGCCCTGGAAGGAGCTCCGGGTGAGCTTGCTCGTCAGCTCCCTGGTGCTCCACCCTGAGGGCAGGCTCTTCAGACCTTGTCTGACCTCTGAGCTCGCCACCCGCTTCGCTGGCCATGCCCGTCTCCTTCCTCCGCTTCCATGGTGCCACGTTTCTAGTTTGCATCCTGCCTCCGTGCCCTGCCCCTCCTCAAACTCTCTGGTAGGTTTGTCTTCCTTCATCTGAGCATTAAAGTATTGGGATTCAGTAAGGCTTCATCCCAGGCCCTCTCCTCTTCTCATACTATGCTCTCTCCATTCCCCTGGCTTCAGAGTATCTATTTTGCAGACTAGCCAGAACCTTCTGTCGCTGGCCTGACCCTCTCCTCTCCACCAAGCTCAGTAGACCCAGCTGCCTCCTGGACACGTCCGCTGTGACGCTGCACAATCATTCTGACTCAGCGGCTCTAAACTCAAACTCATGGTCCCCTTCCACCCTTCCCCCCATCCTCAAATGCCCCTGTTCCCTTCCAGTGTTCCCCACCTTCTCAGCGAATGGCATAACCAGCCATCGAGCTGTGTAAGATATGGACTTAAGAGCTATTCGATATACCTCCTGCTTCCCCAGTGCCCACAGACGCTGTGTCTCTGCGGTCTGCCAACGTGACTCCTAAAGAGCCTGCCTGTCCACCTCCATGGCCTAGCTCAGGCGCCCATCATCCAATACCAGGCGTGCAGTGGCCTCCAGCGCTCCTGCTCAGACTGCCTCTCGCATCTCCCAGCCCATCCTCTGTACAACAAACAGTGTCATCGGTTGTAAATCTGAAATGTTCATTTGTTCATCCCCTCACCCAGCCAGGGCACGGAATGCCACTCTCTGTGCCTTGGTTTCCCACTTTGTACAACGGAAATGCTGGTAGTGCTATGTCAAGGGGCTGACCTGAAGATTAAAGGAATTAGTATGCGTGCTTCTTAGAGCGTGCCTGTACATTTTAGGCATTAAGTCAGCATTAGCTTATTCAGTTACTCCTGTTGTTTGCAGAGAGAGAAACATAGAGTTGAATGGGTCTGTTACCTTGTCCAGGTGGATTCAGGGCGGAGCCAGGAGTAGAACCCTGGTCCCTAACTCCTGAGCTGTTTAGCACTTTGTCATTAAGCCACAATATCATTCTCCTACCAAATCTCATTTTCAAAGTCAAAACAACTAATCATAGCACACGCCCTTTGGGAGGACTTAGCTGCATTTTATAGCTGTGATTAGCCTGGATATTATTCTCAGACCCTTTCAAGAGAAATGGAACATAAATAGAGGGGCTCATTTGAAATCATGTGTATTTAACGATAAGGCTGCCTAGTTAATCGCAGAATTTTCTCTGGTTAGAGTTCAGTCGCTCATTGTCTCGTCCCCTCCAAACATGATACATAAGAAAAGCAAAAACAGAAAGGCCAGCAAAGAACCAGGCCAGGCATCTGGTCGTGGGATCCGTGGGCTGCTTAGCATAAGCCAGTGAGCGAACCTTCTGCAGACACTTCTGGGCATAAGATTCTAAAACACTGACCCCCCACTTTTAAGATGCAAGCTCCATCTTTAACCTGGAAGGGCTTCTTCAAAACATACTATCCCCAAACCCTAGCTTCATGTGAAACCTTGGTTTTCCAAAATGGTCCCACAAAGGTGGCTGCATCCCTACAAAAGAAACTAGTATTTGGGGGAAAAATAAATGGAAAAGTGAGGGAGAACCTCTAAGACGCTCATTCTAAATGAACTCAGGAGTTGCATTCCAGACCTATGACACTGACTTGCTCACTTGTGTAATCTCAGCTTCCCTCCTGTAGTTGGAGAATGCTGTTTTAGAAAGGACGGGAAGACTGTTGAGTCCAAATTTAGAACCTTGAGGACTGTGAATTTCCAGATACCCAGCTGACCCTTATCAATGCGGATAAATAATACCATCATGGGATGTTTTAGAAAATGAAGAATAGATGCGAAAATGTTCTTATAAACTTGAGAACACTTTAGGATTACCATTTCCAGCAGTCTCCAAGGTGCTCCCAAACACCTTGAAGACAGATATCCAATCCAAACTTCTTTCTCTGGCATTGAGGCCCACTCCCTATGTGTAGCCTATATGGCAATGATATTGGAGCATCATAGAATCAGCTGTCAGTGAGCACTGGATTTAAAATAGTTAAACTTGGCAACTCCGTGGACTTTATTTTCACTCTGGGTCTCTTTTAGTGTCCATGATGTAAGTGAAAATGTTAGTCGCTCAGTCATGTCTGACTCTTTGCAACCCCATGGACCATAGCCCGCCAGGCTCCTCTGTCCCTGGAATTCTCCAGGCAAGAATACTGGAGTGGGTTGCCATGCCCTCCTCCAGGGGTTCTTCCCCACCTAGGGACTGAACCCAGGGCTCCTACATTGCAGGCGGATTCTTTACGGTCTGAGCCGCCAGGGGAGCCCCGTGATGTAAACCTCTTGCCAGCTCGAGACGCCGGTTGCTGATGTCTGGGGAGGACTATGACCTCTGCTGCTAGAACAGCACCGTTTTCTGCCGGAAGGACTCGGAGGGCCTCAGACCCCTTCACACATACCTCATCCCACTGAGGGAAGCAGAAAACTGAATAATTAATTGCAGGGTTGTTAAATAGTTTCCAGGAGTCTCAGAAATACCAACATATCTGATGCTGAAGCCCATTGTGTGATATTTCCTGGAACTTCATCTGGACGTGTAGTCCTCCTCTTTTTCTTTTTTTTTTTTAATTTTCAGGCAATCAGCATTATAATTCAACATCTGTATATACTGCAGAGTGATCACCACCACAAGTCTAGGGACCATCTGTCACAGTACAGTTGACCCCCTTCAACCATTCTACCCACCCCCAGTCCCCTTCCCCCGGTGACCATTATTCTGATCTCCATATCTGTTTGTTTTTGGTTTTATTGTGTTTGTTCATTTGTTTGGGAGTCTTTTAGATTCCACATAGGAGTGAAATCGTACAGTATTTGTCTATGTGTGACTTATTTCACTTAGAATAATACCTTCATGTTGTCACGAATGGCAAGGTGTCATGCGTTCTGTGGTTGAATAATATTCCATTGTGTGTATGTACCACATCTTCTTTATCCAGTCATCCATCAGCGGTCACTGACGTTGTTTCCGTATCTTAGCTGTCATAAATAATAGTGCAGTGAACACAGGGGTGCAGATATCTTTTTGAGTTAGTGTTTTCATGTTCTTCAGATAAATACCCATGAGTGGAATATCTAGGTCATATGGTAGTTCCATTCTTAACTTTTTGAGGAATCTCTATACCGTTTTGCATGATGGCTGCCCCTGTTTACATTCCCACCAACAGTGGGCCACCATCCCTTTCCCCTACATGGTTGCCAGCATTTGTTTTATGTGGTCTCTTGGATGATGGCCATTCAGACATGTTTGCGGTGATCTCTCATTGTGGTTTTGATTTGCCTTTCCCTGGTAATTCCTGATGTTGAGCGTCTATTCATGTACCTGCTGACCATCCATATATCTTCTTTGAAAAATGTCTGTTCAGCTCCTCTGTGCACTTTTTAATCAGGTGGTTTGGTTTTTTTGGTGGATGTGTATTAGATCTTCATATATTTTGGATTTTAACCCCCTAACGGGTATATGATCTCCAGCTATCTTCTCCCACGCAGTAGGTTGCCTTTTTGTTCTGATGATGATTTCCTTGGCTGTGCAGAAGCTTTCTAGGATGGGGTAGTCCCGCTTGTTTTTGCTTCTGTGTCCCTTGCCTTTGGAGTCAGATGCACTAAAGCATCTCTCAGAACAGGTAGTGTCTCCTCTTTGGTGTCCTTCCCAGTCTCTGTCCTACAGGGTACCCACCTGTTGCCCGCCCCCGCCCCCTGCTGTTGCATCATAGCCAGTTCACATCCTGGCTGTGATGCTTCACTTGCTCTGGCTAAATTACATGCCTGCACCAAGTGTCATCCCTGTTCCTCTTCATTTGTCATCCCGTGTCTAATGAGGCTCTGGTGGCGATGGGTGGGGACCAGAAGAGCAGCTATTGTTCTCTGCAGACAGACTTGCTCTCTCCCGACTCCCCGGGGCCTTGAGCCTCTTTGTACTTTGAGTCTGCACAGATATGGCAAGAGGCAGGCTCTAGCCTCAGGGTGAGGGGAGAAAGGCAGAGGCCATGATCTCAAAGTTAGGAGGCCCCAGCGAAAGAATGAGACTTCTGTGATGAGAGTTCATGGGCCTGGAGGCTGGGGGAGCAGGGCAGGGGAGGGGCTGCCGGAGGGAGGAGGGTCAGCTCCACGTGACATCACTTCGAGTGGCCTTCCTGGGCTTGAAATTGAGGAACTGAGGAGGCGTTGGTGGTGAGCGTCAGTCTCTGAGAGCGCAGGATGGAACAGGCACCCCAGCCTCTGACTCTGCCTCCCGTATCTGCAACGGCTGGGGAGATTAATGACCCAGGGAGGCTATGACATGGTCCAAAAACTTTTCCTGGATTTTTTCCGCAGGCGACTGAGCCAGAGGCCGACTGCAGAGGAGCTGGAGCAGAGGAACATTTTGAAACGTAAGTGACGGAGCCCGTGGCAAACGCTGAGGTTTCATGATTGCTTTGGTTATGGTATAATATCACGGCAAGCCACTGGGCTTCTCCTGTGTGCTTGTGTGGAAAGGATTGAGACCCTCTCTGGTCCTGGAGGCTTCACCCCTGTGTGTTAGACCACCCGAGACAGCCTCCCCGCCGAGAAAGCAGCTTCGAATCCACTTGGTTCATGAGGAGCTCAGGGTCTCCAAGAAAGAACCTGCCCTTGAGTGGGCTGCAGGGTCAGAGGGGCTGGAAAGTTCGAGCAAGATAACCTCTTGTTAAATGAGAGCTGGGGTTGCCTTTAAAGCCAAATTGGCTTAAAAACTGCAAATACGATACTGACGGCTAAAATAGGGCAGATAGCCGTTTGAAAACTAGAACCAGAGGACGTGACTTTCCTGCTGCAGCTGGCTGCTGCTGATAAAATCCCCCCTCCCTCTGACCATTCAGTTGATAGTCTAAGAAAGCATTTTCCAGTGGAAATCCTTTCTGGCCTCCTCTTGGGCCTCCCACAGCCAGCTGCTGGAGTAGCTGCTGAAGCTCTCTTTCCAGAAAGTCTCGCTGTCACTCTTATCTGCGGACAGAAAAAAAATGAACGAGTCTCTTGTTTGGTTTAGGACACAGACATAATTTGAGTATGTAGAGAAAATCCATATGGTGCTTAAAATATTTGTTTTAAAAATGCTAAAAGAAATCACCTCAGGGACACCAACCAGCATTCCTCAATTTAGGGGGAGATATTCAATAATTGAAAAATAAAACCTCTCTGCTTCATCGCAGGATACTCTTATCAACACTGCCCTCTAGATGGTCAACAGATGTTTCTAGTTTAATTCAGGCCCTTTGTCCCCACACACCCATCCCTTTCTCTCTCCAGAAAAGAGAAATACATGCTATGCAATTTTACATAGCAAACACACACATACACCACACAGAGAGTCATGTGAGGCCTCTGCATGAGTGACTGGGTATTTCCACCACAACCAAACAACAATGTTCTTGAATTTACTTTTCTCGCCTTCCTCATTGTGGTCGTGTGGCTGGCTGTTGCGTTTCCCCTGGGAAGGCTGTGTTCTTGGGGTGGGGGTGTGGCCCAGAGCACCCCCACCTGCGTGCTCTGTACCTGCACCCACATCCTGCCCCTTGCTCTAGGCTGTGAAACCTTCAGCCTTGACCTTCCTCAGTCCTCAGGGCACCTAATCGACTCCCCAGATCTCTGGGAGGTTGTATATATGATTATTCTTCCTAACCCAGGGATGCCAGTATCCCAACAGTATCTCCGAAGTTTACTTGGAGCTGAAACAGATTGAGAACTCTTTCAGATGACTTCCCTGGTTAGGGAAACCTTTGGCTTCTGTGTCTCCCTTTCTGTCCCAACTTGATACCTGACCCGTTAAAAATTGTCCACATCAGAGGGAAGAACAAACAGGTGACCGTCGATTTCTAACGCAGAAATCCGGTGAGCGTGCTTCCTCCTTCCTCTGCCCCGCCACCTGCTCTTGTGCCTCACACGCATCCGTGGTGTGAGGACTCTATGCTCCGATGGGTTACACTATACCTGGGCCCTAACCTGACTCTTGGCTTGGGAAGAAGCTGAACCCTTCTGGGGACTTGTTAGGTCTCAGAAGATGAGTGCTTCTGTCGGTGGGGGCAGAGGTTTTGGAAAGAGAAGGCAGGGAGTCCCCAGCTCACCTGGCTCCCTAGAGGCACCAGCTCCTGTCTCTCATCTGCCCAGATCCCCGAGAGACGACAGGCGGGCCCTCGAGTTGCTTCTTCTCCCCTCCAGAAAGATGCTGGGGTCGTAGAGGTGGTTGCTTGTGTCGAATAAGTCTGTGGGCTCAGGTTCAGGGGAGCAAAGGGCCGCCCAGCTGCTCCCATGGTTCCCTTACGTTCTGTGGCCTCCTCTGTCGTGTCCTGTTTGAACAGCTGCAAATTGAGGGACCACTTGACCAAGTTCAAAGAGGGTCATCATTTTGCAGTTTCAAAACTTTTTGGAAAGGAGCTTTATTTTTCCTGCTGGTTCTTTGTTTTCTCCCATGTTCTGAAACTTTGTTTTCTGAAATAGGTGTGTTTTTTTCTTCTCTTTAAAAATCTATTGTGATTGTTAAACAAGAAATGTTTTGTGGCATCAGAAGATACCCTCAAATGGTGGTGTATTCTGAGAATTATCATCTGGGCTTTAAGTCATGGGAGGCAGCATGTCTCTAAGGTTACAGGAGGGTGGGCAGCCTGGGCCGGGGGGTGCTGGAGCTTTGAGAGCCCCCGCCTTCCCGGCCCTGGGGGTGGTACCTGCTCCACTGGGGGCAGCCAAGGAGACATCAGGCCCGTCTGAGCACACAATGAGCTGTCTGGTGGTGGCGGCAGTGATGACTTCGAGGGCGTTTCCTGGTCTCACTTTCTCCACTTGCCTGATGGGGTTGTGTTGGTACCCACTGCCTGAGAATTCATGACCCTGACTTTGTAAATGGCTTTGAACTAAAGGTCTAGATTCTGTTGGTGATAGGTCGGGGCCCCCACCCATCAGAGGGACCTCAGGAACACATGTAGGAGATGAGAGGGCAGGGTGCTGACTCTCATGGCCCAGCAGGGGGCCTGTAGGATGAGGCGGCCCCCGAGTGGAGTCCGAGGCAAGTAACCAGTAATGAGGAGGGCTGGCCCCCAAGCAAAATCGGATTGGGAAGAGGCGGTGCGTTTGAGCAAGAAACAGAGCTGGGCTGTGTGTCCAGTGTACTAGCCGTGGGGTGTGCGGCCCGCCCTCAGCTCCCTTGGGCCTTTCTGTCCGTTTCCAAGCCAAAGAGCAGGCGCCTAGGCAACCCCTTGGGCCGCTGCTGGCTCTGATACGCCGCGAGGCTGTCCATTTTTAACCCAGTGCCCGCAAGCTGCCTCCTGGGTGCTCACCATCCACTCTAGACCTTTCCGTCTGGCCTCCTTCCCATCTGCAAATGCAGCTGTCGGCCCGAGGCGGGGGGCACCCTTCTTCTGGGTCTAACTGGCTGCCTCCCAGTTTATCTCGGAGAGACTTGTTCATCCAAAGGTGGTAACAGCTGACTAGCTGAATGGGTTTTTAGTTCCGAAGAAATTCACATTTTTCAAAGGAACTCTGGAAGGGGAGGGAGGACCTTTCAATTCGAAGGAAGGTGCTTTCCTGTGGGGTTTGGGACCACAGGGACCCCTGGGGACCTCAACCAAGGGCCGGATGTGGGCGTGTCTGTGCTGCCCTGTCCACGATCCTGATCCTCACAGGCGGTCAGCGTGGCCACACCGTGTCCCTGGGGGTTGGCGCGCAAGGGCCTGAGCTGTGCTCTGACTCACCCTTGTTCCTTCTGGCGGGAGGCATTGCCACTTGCAGTGTGAGTTGGCTGAGGTTGTGGTTGCTGGCAAGGAGGGGCAGGGGGACCCCACTTTTAGGCACGAGGGGGCCGTACTTGTAAAGATCTGGGCTCTACTGAGACCACGGACTGACACGTGCGTCCTGATATGATAAGTCAGTAGAGTTATGGAAACATCATTTACGTCAGTGGTTTCACATGGGCCCTCTTGATGCAGATGGTGCCGAAGTCAAGTCGCTGTGGTGGCCTCTCTCTGAAGGCATCCTCGATTCAGTAGACGAGACACAGGGGCATTGGGCCCAGGCTGACGTTCATGGTTTTCCTCGAGTCAGACAGTACTGGGCTGCGATCCGGGCTTCCATCCCAAGGCCTGGGAGGAAAGTGAGGTACCCACATCATCCGGTTACTTAGACGTGCCCACATTCTCTGTCCGCCATGTCTCTGCTCCTTTCCCCAGACCCTCTTACCTACACACACCTGATGCTAAGTCACCCCCCATATTGTGCTGAGAATGTTTAAGCTCTAAAATTTGCTCTAAGACGCTCCTTAAAAGTCGAAATGCAGGCCATTGTACCCCACACTGTGGCCTCCCACATGCTCTGTGGACTTCTTGGAAGATTCAAAGAATTAATGGAATCAGGGCTTGCAAAAGGTGAGCGTTTTGCAGATCCAGCCTCTGCATTTGTCATCAGCCGTACCTCGTGTTGTTTCTGTGGGGGTCTGGCCTCTGTTCCTTCCAGGCAGGGCACTGGGTGCCCCAGACCACCTCACAATGAGACCCCTTAGGCCACTGTGAGGCCTGAGGCAGAGCTGAGCGAGGCCCAGGTCTTGTCCAGAGAAGGGCACCTCCCCTCCTCCGAGGACACGCCTGTCACTGTGAGCACCACCCGCTCTCTCAGGACCCACCTCCTTGCCTTGTGGCCCCACCTCCTGATCCAGCATCTCTGCCTGCAGACCCGGAAGGAACCCCACGTGACATGAAGAAAGCGAAGTAAGGTTGACCCACTCACCCCCTGTTTGAAACAGTGCAGGCAGCTTGGAGAGTGTCCCCGCGAGTAGAAGGGTGGCTGCGGTCTGGAGGCAGAACTCTCCTTCTGAGACTGTGAGCTGCTGGGCCTAGAACCTGCAGAGGTTCAGAGGGTGCATCCTTGCGAGACACTGCAACCAAAACCTAAAGCTCCTACATTTCTTTCAGCTCGGAATGAACAAGAGGAACAAGAGGAGAAGAGAGAGATCAAGAGGAGGTTAACCCGAAAGGTGAGAGGGTTCTCTGTGCCAACAGGGCTGGGATAGGAGTACGCCTGCCCTTTGGGTGTGGGCCTTCCCGCTGCCTGGCCTGTTGGAGGTGACATCAGTGGTTCCATTCCTCAGGTGTCAGGACACGTGGCTCTCTAGACTCTCCAGGGGCCAGTGGTCATGCAGCTTCACGACCTTTAGTCCTGTTGGCTGGTAACATCCTATGTTGCTTAGTTTTGTGACAGTGGCTTACCTCTCCAAGCAACTTGATATCAGGTGTATTATATTTGCAGTTACAGTAAATATTCTGTGGCTAAAAATTCACTGTAATCCCATCTCTCAATTGGAAATTCACTATCAACAGCAGTAGCTCAAAATGTATAAGTTATTTGCTATGACTCTGGAAAGCTCGAGTTTTCCTTGTCTCCCCTGATACTGCTCCCGACCTACTACCCAAGAACTATTTATTATGCTAAATCCAATTAATTAGGAAAATGTCAACTATATTGATAAACTAATGAAGATGTTTGAAAAGCACTTAGATAAAATTCAGGAAGATAGAATTTCTATATATTTTTACCTAAAAACCCCCAAAATAGATGGCTTGGCAATGCAATGTAGACCCACGCAGATCTATTTTGGGTGACCTCTTTGATAAGAAGCTCTTTATCTGAGGCTATTCTTGAGGGACATTGAGAGAAAGATACTTAAAGCTTAAAGATAGTTAAGAGGCACATCAAAATTAATTTTTAAAGTTTTTATTAATGGATTTTTCTCCATGGACATATAATGCAGAGGAGGAAATTCAGAGATCCTGAAATACTTAAGGTGATTTGTTTCTCAACGCTTTCTCACCCTTAGAGCATCCCAAACATCTGGTGACAAGGCAAAAGCCATCCCAACTAAAAGGAGTAAGATACGCAAGGGCCTGAGAGCCAGTGACGGGCTGGTGTCCCCTGGTGGGAAACCACAACAAGAGCTCAGAACCCTCACCCCAAGTCCAGGTCTGGTTCTTACATCCTTAATGGACGCAGGGCACCCCATTTCCTGAGACTGAGCAGATGCATTAGACTGTTCTAAGTGGGTCCTTGAAATGATAACGATATCAAAAGGCGACTGGTAATGACTCCTTATTTCTGATACAGAACGGTCTAGACATTCAGAAACAAACGTTTAATCAGATTTTTATAACGTTCACGGGAGTTGATTGCTGGTACCCCCCCTCCCAATTCTCCTAACCTTGAGGGTTCCATGTTAAAAGCTAGTAATACAGAAAGATTTGGACATGAAATTAATTTTCTCCTTTAAAAAAAGTACATGATCTTGCAGGGGAAAACCTGACTAACTGCCTAATTTGGCAGGAAGGGGTGAGAGAACAGAGGTTCCTCCCACCCTCATCTCCCCTGAGAGGGGTCCCCAAATACCCATAGTTCTTGCAGGTCTTCAAGATAAATGCCTCTTCCTCCTCCCAGTTACCTCTCTCTTCTTCTCCCAGGAAAAGTGCCTTGTAATTTCACTATCTGCCATCCCCTGGGACTGGCTTGGGGAATTATAAATAATAAGCTCGAGGGAAGGGATAGGCTGTTCTTATAAGGGAGAGACTGAAAGTAGCTTGCACATCTGGCTTCTGTGAACAGAGGTGTGGGGCCTGGCAGCTGCTAGGGAATCTGTACCACCTCCTAGCCCTGGACATGTTCTGTTTCTCAGGAGCCTTTATCACAGCAAGACCAGATGTCAGAGGTGTGGGGTGGGGGTGCTTTCCCGTACCTTCCCTCAGCCCCAGGACTGCCTCCATAGCCTTCTGTCAAGACCTTGTGAGAAAGAGAAAACACAGTAGCGGATGCTGTTGGCCACAGACCAGGCATTCTCTTCAGCCAAACTGAGATGAACCTAAAAATTATGTGCTTCATCTTTCAGTAGATGCCTGTTTCCCACTTCCAAAAAGATTGCTAGCTAGCTTGATGGATGGATAAGAAGGAGGGAGGGAGGCAGGCAGGGAAGAAATTTACCTGGGTCAGGTTGTATTAATAGTGGAATTTGGGTCTTGACATGTACCCTTTTGTTGAGCATTTGCAAGTGATACTTTTGCTGCTGTAGATAAAAACATAACGCTGCCAACTTCTGCAGAGACTCTTTCCTTAGCATCCAGGCAGGTAACTTGGGTTCATTTTACCTGGAAGGTGAGAGCCAGTCGTGAGCCAAAGGCGCCTCTCCTGAGCCCACATGGCTAGGCTTGTGAGTCCTCGCTCATGACGGAATCCCAGTGGTTACTGAGCAGATGCATTAGACTGTTCTAAGTGGGTCCTTGAAATGATAACGATATCAAAAGGCGACTGGTAATGACTCCTTATTTCTGATACAGAAAGGTCTAGACATTCAGAAACAAACGTTTAATCAGATTTTTATAACGTTCACGGGAGTTGATTGCTGGTACCCCCCCCCCAATTCTCCTAACCTTGAGGGTTCCATGTTAAAAGCTAGTAATACAGAAAGATTTGGACATGAAAATAATTTTCTCCTTTAAAAAAAGTACATGATCTTGCAGGGGAAAACCTGACTAACTGCCTAATTTGGCAGGAAGGGGTAAGAGAAGAGAGGTTCCTCCCACCCTCATCTCCCCTGAGAGGGGTCCCCAAATACCCATAGTTCTTGCAGGTCTTCAAGATAAATGCCTCTTCCTCCTCCCAGTTACCTCTGTCTTCTTCTCCCAGGAAAAGTGCCTTGTAATTTCAGTATCTGCCATCCCCTGGGACTGGCTTGGGGAATTATAAATAATAAGCTCGAGGGAAGGGATCGGCTGTTCTTATAAGGGAGAGACTGAAAGTAGCTTGCACATCTGGCTTCTGTGTGTGGGGCCTGGCAGCTGCTAGGGAATCTGTACCACCTCCTAGCCCTGGACATGTTCTGTTTCTCAGGAGCCTTTATCACAGCAAGACCAGATGTCAGAGGTGTGGGGTGGGGGTGCTTTCCCGTACCTTCCCTCAGCCCCAGGACTGCCTCCATAGCCTTCTGTCAAGACCTTGTGAGAAAGAGAAAACACAGTAGCGGATGCTGTTGGCCACAGACCAGGCATTCTCTTCAGCCAAACTGAGATGAACCTAAAAATTATGTGCTTCATCTTTCAGTAGATGCCTGTTTCCCACTTCCAAAAAGATTGCTAGCTAGCTTGATGGATGGATAAGAAGGAGGGAGGGAGGCAGGCAGGGAAGAAATTTACCTGGGTCAGGTTGTATTAATAGTGGAATTTGGGTCTTGACATGTACCCTTTTGTTGAGCATTTGCAAGTGATACTTTTGCTGCTGTAGATAAAAACATAACGCTGCCAACTTCTGCAGAGACTCTTTCCTTAGCATCCAGGCAGGTAACTTGGGTTCATTTTACCTGGAAGGTGAGAGCCAGTCGTGAGCCAAAGGCGCCTCTCCTGAGCCCACATGGCTAGGCTTGTGAGTCCTCGCTCATGACGGAATCCCAGTGGTCGTCAGAGACTCTCCCAGCAGGAAAACCTGGGGCCCTCCTTGCTCACTCCTAGCACCTGGGCCCAGTTCCTCATCCCCATCCAATTCAGGCATGAAAAAGAGAGTCCCTTACCTTCAGAGCCAATCTCAAGATTTCTGTTCACTGCAGACTCTACCATAGACAGGCTATGAGCAAAATCCAGGCCATGATTTCCAGAAATTTAAATTAGAAACCCCATGCTTGCATGGCATACTGAAAACACAGTACTGTCTGTCTGCCACCCCAGGGTAAACCTTAGTCACACTGAGCTCCAGAACACACCGGGGCTTTGAGCAGGAGTCCTTGTCATGACGGCGTCTGCCTGCTCAGATGGTACAGAATCCGCCGGCCAATGCAGCAGACCCGAGTTCCATCTCTAGGTCGGGAGGATCCTCTGGAGGAGGGAATGGCTACCCACTCCAGTATTCTTGCCTGTGGAATCCCATGGTCAGAGGAGTCTGGTAGGCCACAGTCCATGGGTTGCAGAGAATCGGACATGACGGAGCATATTATGGAAAATGTCTCTCTCTGTTATAATGACACTGTGAAGCTCCCTGCACTCATTTCTGAGTCAGGATAGACCCCCATTTTTGCTGACAGCAAACCCTGACCATCAAGCCCAGGAAACCTCTGATTTCCTGCAAGAGGCCATCGCTGACACCAAAATGCCTGGGAAACCCAGGACAAAGGGGGAGCTGCAGTCACACCCAACATACCTGTGATTCCCCAGGTCTCTGCTCCCTTGGCCGAGGGGTAGCAGCAGGCTGCTTGGGTCCTGTCTGGAGCCTGGCGCTTGCTGTCACCATTCTGATCAGTGCCGGCCAGGCAGTCATCTAATTATGTTCTTCCATTGTAGGCCAGTTGGTAGCAAGCTGGGACATTCTGGCATCGGCCTAAGGTGTATTGTAGCTGCGTAAGAGAAAGTCAGAACAGCCAGAGGTGGTTTGGATTTGCTTGCATGTGTTTGTTTTATAGGCCTTTGTGCTAAGATTCTATTCGACTGCATCTCCTATTAATAGAATTAAATACAGTCTAGGGCTTGGAGAAAAACTGCTTTTAAATAACATTGGTTAAACATAAATTGACAGCATCCTAAAGAGAGAGCAACTGTGTTGCTCCAGAAGAAACAAACCTAGTGACAGAAAGAGATAATAGAAACGTCAGCCTCGAGTTGTGAAAGTACCAAGGGAGGATGCTAGCAGGTGACACGGGAGATGGTGAAATGACTCGCTTGCTTCATTCCTTCACCGCAGACTTCTCTCGAGAGCCGGTCCCGTCTTCCTCAGCATCAACGCGGCCTCACTCTGCCTTTGTGGATGCACCTTTCATCTGAGCTAGTGAGGGGCAGGGTCTCCGGGATTGCATAAATCAACATACTCCTAATTCCTGCACACCCCCGAGTCTGCACACACTTTTTTAGTGTCTAAAATACAAAGATTACAAACCCATCTTGCAGAGAGCACTAAATTTGACACACAGAGGTCAGTTCATGAATCCAGAATAATACAAACCTGTTGTATAAGGTTTCTGTTCCCCTGATGGGAAAGGCAGATAGATGTGGGAAGACCCATCACACCCACGCAGAAAGGCACACTGCAGTGTTGTTCCGCAGCCTGGCTGCTTGTCTGAAAGTCCAAGCTGCTTGTCTGGAGGCGGTTCATGAGACAGTAAGCTCCTTCACAGAGAGCTGGAGAAGTCCCAGGTCCTGGAGTCAGGAGTCCTGGGTCCCCCAGGCCCTGCCCCTCTCTGGTCTGTGATGCGTCAGCTGCGCCTCTCCACCTCATGCTCTCACCTGTAAATTCACAGGTGGACCAAGTGATCTAAAACGTGGCTGGTTGACCACGTCCGTGTCTCTCTGTCCCCTGCAGCTCAGCCAGAGGCCCACAGTGGAGGAGCTTCGGGAACGGAAGATCCTTATCCGCTTCAGCGACTACGTGGAGGTGGCCGACGCTCAGGACTATGACCGCAGGGCCGACAAGCCCTGGACCCGCCTCACCGCTGCTGACAAAGTGAGAGGGGTGGGGAGGGCCGCCCGGGCCTCATGGCCGGGCGCTGGGTCTCTAGCCCGCTGCTGGGAGCCTGCATGGAGCCCAGGAGCAGAGCCAGGGTGCCCGGGTGGACACTGGAGGCTGAGGGCCTGGCAGGCAGGCTCTGGGAAAGGGCCGCACTCCTTCCGTAGTTTGGTTGGGGAATCTGGCCCACCAGCTCTGGAAGGATCCATCCTAAGGTGTCACTGTGCATTCTGAGCTTAGATCCACTGCAGGAAGACCAGGGGCTGACCTTTCAGTATGCACCAGGGACCCAGGATGTGGGCCAGGTGGACGGGCCCTCTCGCTGCCCGGATGAACAGCTCTGGGCAGAACCCCAAATAGAACTGTTTGCATCTTAGATTTGGGGTGAGGGGATTCTTCGTAGGTTCTAAAGGGTCTTCCCTGGTGGCTCAGATGGTAAAGAATCTGCCTGCGATGAAGGAGACCTGGGTTCAATCCCTGAGTCGGGAAGATCTCCTGGAGAAGGGAATGGCTACCTATTCCAGTTTTCTTACCTGGAAAATCCCATGGACAGAGGAGCCTGGTGGGCTACAGTCCACAGTGGTGTAAAGAGTTGGACACAATCGAGTGACTAACACTTCCACTTTCTAAAGGGTATCTCAGGGTGACTGTGTTTCTCCCAGCGGAAAGAATCCACTTTACGTACCTGTCTGACTTTGTCGAAGAGAAAAACTATGTTTTCAGGAATAAAATAGAAGGTGAGCTGCTGTCTGTCTGCTTCCTCCACACATACACGGGCTTCTCTTTCTTCCAGGCTGCCATTCGGAAGGAGCTCAACGAATTTAAAAGCACTGAAATGGAAGTTCACGAATTGAGTAGACATTTAACAAGGTTAGTGTCAAGAGGTTTTCTTTTCTTCTTTCCCCCTTCAAATTATAATATTTACCCCTCACTGCTTCTGGAGGACAAGTGCGGTGGTGGGTGTGGTAAGGGGGGAGATAAAAGAAAGATCCACATGGATGGGTCCATAGGTTCCACCATGGTTACTGAAAGTAGAGGGGAGTGTGTCAGAGGTCTGGACTGAATGCAGCCTTCTCAGAGCCCGTAAACTAAAGATCTGCTGAGTTCTGGGCCACGATGGGGTGGGTATTTATGAAAACATAAGCTGAGGAGGAAAGGTCATTGCTGATTACAGCAGAGACCAAACCGGGGCAGGGTACCAGATCCACGTGGCACTTCTGTGTGGGAGTCATGCCTGTGGTTGCGGGTCCTTTTCCTAGACAGTCCTGTGTGCTGCTGCTTGGCGAAACTGAAGCAGACTGAGATTGGAGGGACTTACACGAGGTCACAGGGCTGGTTAGCAACAGGCCATTGACTCCCTTCTGCCTCTCTCCTTGGCAGAACGTTGGGAGAAACAGTGCCTGACTCAGGGATGGAAGCTTGGGGTCCCCGCCTTGCTGCCGAGTCCTTACCTGGGCTGTGGCCCCCCTGGGGAGCTCCAGACTAAACTTCAAAACCAGGGGTGCACTTGATGGGCCTCAAGTTCTCCAGGGGTCCTGTGGAGATTTATTTGCCTTTGGTTGGAGATTTAAGCCTCCCTGTGGCTGTCACAAACAAGGATCGAGGCTGGAGAGCTCAGCTTTGTCAGGCCCGACACCGTGGGCAGCTGCTGGGTCTTGACTGAGTTGTTTTGTGTTCCTAGGTTTCACCGACCTTAACAGTCGAATTCCTCTTGAGTGCTATGCTGTCTTCAAAACATAAATTTATAAGAACCATAAGTGCTGGTATTTATTCACTTCCCCATTATGATGTAAATCTTCTGAACTGCCTTTTTTTTAAAAGAAGAAGAAAAAGAAAAGGAAACACAGTCAGGATTCTGTTTGCAAAAACACGATGGTTACAGCTCTGTGGTCAGAGCTGCTGGCGCCGCCGCGGATAAGGGACCATGCCCCGTCCCGGGGGCACCGAAGACCTGCCCGCCCTCGGTGTGGCCCTGGGCCTCAGGCCAGCAGGTACCGTGTTCACTGAGGCTCCCCGAGCCTGTGCCGCCAAAGTGTCTGTCACCTGAGTCCAGAGAATGCCGAGCCGGTGGATCTGTCGTGGGACGACTGTGCAGAAGCAGGCGGTCCAGGGGTGGCGCCCGATCAGGAGGCTGCTGAAGGAGTCCACACCACTCACGCAGTGAACTAAGGGGAGAGCCCTTCCCCGGGGGAGCCTGTGGTCGCTGGGCCGTCCTCAGAGTGCGTGCGCTCCAGGTGCAGAGGCGGGCACGAGTGCCTGTCCTGTCCCCTCTGGCTGAGCCGGCTGCCCTCCAGGCAGCTCTGGTGTTGCAGGGGAAGTCCGTCGTTAGACGAGCCTGGAGTCATGGGGGATCTTACGCATGCCAGCAGCCTCTGTCTTGGTGGCATCATGCGTGTGAGCGTATGGTCACTGTGGAGGGCACCCAGGCTGGGGTAACCAACCGCCTGGCTGATGTTCATTCTCTCTGCGCTATACCCCAGGGCTGGGGACCGGGTGGCCGGGCCCTTAATGGCCTCTGAGTCGAGGACCAGGCCAGGATCCATTCCTGAAGGGCTGGCTTCCCCCAGCGGTGTCCTCCACAGCAACCCAAGGCCCTTCCAGGCTTGCGTGCCTGGACGTGTCGGGGCAGAAGCCCCAGCATTGGGGTAGACACCGGCCCCGCCCGCCGGGAGGTACCTGCTTATCCAGGGAGCATCCCTCCTCTCCGTCTGGAGGCTGGTGAGGGTGACCGAGGTGGGATCTCCGTCCGTCCTTCTCACCTGTGATCACAGGAGAGTGGTGGGGGCAGGGTACTGCAGAGGAGGGACCGCTATGGACCCTGACTGCTCTCAGCAGGGGGCTGCCTGAGCTGCTTCTGATTTCCTTCCCCTCGGCAGCGGCCGCGAAAGCTCCGCCTGGCCTTCTGCCATGATGTGCCATGATCTTCTGCGAGCCTTCTGCCAGCTCTCGAAATGATGGCTCGCACCCCACCACACAGGCCCAGGCTTTAGGATGATGCCAGCTTGGCCTTCACAAAAAAAAAAAAAAAAAAGAGGTAACCAGTCCCCACCCCAAGCTGCGTGGGATCACGTTACCCTGGGGCTGCCCCGCCATCACCATGGGTGAGGGTGGGCTCCTCCTCCGCTGGCGCTCACAGCTCCCCAGGGCAGTGTCACCGTGCACCTGGCGGGCAGCTCGGGCAGTGTTCCAGGCGGTGCCCGCCGGCCGGTGCCAAGCTGGTGCACACTTTCCTCGCAGCGCCTGGCGCCCAGCCCTGGTAAAACGCATCACCCCCTTCCTTTCCTCTTTGAATGTTGAATCCCGATAGTTAACCGCCGTGGGTGGAGGTGTTGTTCAGGGAAAACGTGGCCAGGATTTTAGCATGGCTGTAAACACTGTCTTCCCGAAACTTACTGACATTTGAATGTGCAGATGGTGTGATGAAGGATGCGGGGCTCTTCTGTGTAACTCCTTTGCGTGGGCAAGTGTTCCCGGCCGAGGTGCCCACCTTGGCTGGGGTCTGAGCCTGGGCTTCTAGTGGCGTGATGGTCAGCCTCCTCCTGGCCCAGGAGCGAGTCCTAAGGGACCTCATGCCACTGCCTGGACACCTACCACACAGGCCAGGGGCTTCTCTGTGGGCCTGGGTTCCAAGCCTTTCAGATTCTTGGGAACACGATGCCTCAAGTTCCTTGCAGCCGCCTGCCAGGGGTCCTGGGTTCTCACCCAAAGTGCCCCATTGTTGCAGCCACTTTGCACATGGAAGAAACTGAACACAGTTTCTGCTTCTCCTGCAGAGTAGCTTTTTCTGGAAGTGACTCCCTGCAAATTGAAGGGTGCCCCTCCCGTGTCACTGCCCCCGAGTTGGGCTCTCCCGAGCCCACTGGAAGCGGCTCAGCAACGTCTGTAGGCCACAGGGTGGACTCTGCTGTCTTTCCTTTCTTGAGGCGTTTACAGAAATCTATCCAAATTTCCTTTTTGCCACATTGTTAAAACACCTGAAAAAAATGTATTTCTTTCCAAAATGACAATTTGATATAAGGGGGGTGGAAAAAAGGTAGGCTGGCTGGTTTACAGAGCACCTTTTTTCTGAAAAAGCTACAATTGGAGCTTTTTGTCATTTGCATTAGCACAAGAACCACCTGAGATTTCTCAAATCAAAGCATTTCCCTCTGATCAATCAAACACTGCCCGAGGTCCCCACCCCATCCAGGACTGAGGAGACTGCCATGGGCCTACCTGCTCCTTGGAAATCGCTGACCAATTCCTCCGCAAAGGCCCTCAAAGCTCTGTAAAACTTTAGCCTTTATGTCAGATTAGAGAAACCAAACGATGTGACGGTGGATGTGATGAAAACCTCCGAGCTTATTTTTCTCCTGCCTATGAACGTGTATTTATACTTGCCGAATGAAAACCGTGATGTGCGCTTCGGTGAATGGAATTTCAGGCTCCCCCTGTGCACAGTCAGTGGGCGAGGGTCACCTTCAACGACTTTTTCTTCCCATTTGTCTCTCGATCCCCCAAATGGTTGCTTTTCTCTGGTTGCTTCCCGGGTGTCTGTACATAGTTTGTCTTTGTACTGGAGCGCGCTCCCGTGTTCTGCTTTAACAGACGATGGCTATCTGAGGAAGACAATGTAAATAGAATACAAATTAAACTGGAGCTCTATGGCCTAGGTTTTGTACAGACAGAAACTGCATGGTATTTAAATTATTGTTTGTCTCTGATGATGTATGCAGTTTCTTTAAAAACAAACCAAAAAAAAAAAAAAAGTCTTAAAAAAAAAATTTCCTTGACTCCTGTGTGTTTTTATCGACAACCAGAGGAGCCACCAAAAATTCTTAGATCGGTTGGGGGGAGTGGTAGGTCAGCTCATCAGCAGAAGAACAAGTTATGAAGACACAGAACCACCTGGTGTCGCTGGTATTGCTGGGGAAGGGAAGGACTGCTGCACATACATGAATGGACTTTCTAGGTAAGTTCTAGCATACAAAAGTTTTTTCTCTTCTTCTAAACGTCTCTTAATATCTAAGTGTATTTCTAGTTTTCTGTCCTTTAGTAATCTGGGAATGATATAAATTATTGTCCCCGAGCAAAAGCCCCAGATGACTTTGCTCTTGGGAGTACATACGTCTGTCTCCTTTCTTGAGCAACCTGAGTGTTTATCCTGTAAAAGCCAAGACCTTTTTATCACTTAACCTTTTGGTCCCAATGTGTCTTTCTGGAGGTTTTAGGGGAAGCACAAAGGGCTGCAGGGCTTGCTGACTGCATTTTAGGTGGGGACACTACCAAAGACGCCCTTGGTCTGCTAACAGGAGGGTGGCTTGGGGAAGGCGACCTGGCACGGTGCCGTCCCCCTGTGCCACTGCCTGGGACCACCTGGGTGTCCTTTCCTGGTGCAGATGCTGTCTGTGAGGTCTGGGCGGGGCATGCTGATGCTGCTGGTCCAGGCATCGCATTTCTGAGCAGCAAGGGCGAGGGAGCCAGCTTCCCTTTGCCTGGGAGCCTCCATCCTCAGTGGGTCAGGAGGCCAGGTACACTGCTCGTTTCTTTGCTGAGCATCAGTGGCAAAAGCCCTGCCGGAGGTCAGCGTGATCGTGGCCAGTCCGGGCAAGCCCTCACCTGTGTGGGAAGAGGAACGCCAAGGCCCCAACAGACAGCAGTGCTAAGTGGTCTACAGAAAGGACTGCAGGCTAAGAGCTTCTCTGTCATTCTGCTGTCTTCCTCACTCCAGAATTCTCTGACCTTAACAAGTCAGAACTTGGTTGTAGTTACCTAGGGGAGAGAAAGGACAAGAGTAAGAAAAGCTCCAACAGGCTCTGGCCTGTAGGACAGACGGAAAAGGGCCATCATCCTAAGAGAAAGCCCTTTACGAAGTGAAGAAGGTCATGGCTACACATTCTCAGCAGGTACAGGGCCTGCTGTGTCCACCCTCTGGTCATCACAGGACAGAAACTGTGGCTCCGCCATGCCATCTAACTGGACAGTTTTGGCCGAGTCACTTGATTTCTCTGGGCTTCAGTGTCCTCATGTGGGAAGTGGGGACACTGAACCCAGGGGTCTTGCAGTGGCCTTAAGGACATCAGCTATCTAAGGCTCAGGTTACCGGAAGTCTTAGAACGCTTAGTCCTTAGGGGACCAGTGAGCTCTGGGTAAGTCCTGCTGGGGAAGGCTCTTGGGGAACAGCTTGGATGCCCCCCCTGCCACCCCTCCCTGCCTGGAGTTGGACTCCTGGGGGGCTGCGTGGCACTGGGACCTGTGCTCTCCAGTGTCTTTGTAGGGCTCATCCTAAAGCTGCTCTCAACCATATTACACCGTCCCACCTCCCCCTTCCTCTGGGCCAAGGACCCTGGAGGGGCCTTGGAGCTTTGAGCCGTGATGCTTAAGATACAGTCCGTTGTCCCCTACAGCACCCCAAGTTCAAGGGCACCTCAGTGATGAGGGTACTTACCCCTGATTAGTCATCCAAAGGACAAGTGTGACACTGGGAATGCTCCCTGCTGGCTCCCCAGGCCTCAGTGCTGTCCCAGCTTCAGATGACTCCATATCTATGGTTAAAACCCAGGTCCCCCACTGAGTTCCTGACCCAGGTGTCCAAGTGTCACAAAGCAGCAGTGTGGGTCAAACTGATGCCCTGGGTGCAAATCCTGGCTCTTCCAGCCCTTACCAGCTGAGCAACTTTGGACAAGTTCCTTAATCTCACTGTGCCTCAGCTTTCTCATCTGTAAAATGGGAATGATGGCACCTATTTTATAAGCCTGATAGGATTAAATAAACTGTAAAGTGCTTGGGGAAGGCGACCTGGCACGGTGCCGTCCCCCTGTGCCACTGCCTGGGACCACCTGGGTGTCATTTCCTGGTGCAGATGCTGTCTGTGAGGTCTGGGCGGGGCATGCTGATGCTGCTGGTCCAGGCATCGCATTTCTGAGCAGCAAGGGCGAGGGAGCCAGCTTCCCTTTGCCTGGGAGCCTCCATCCTCAGTGGGTCAGGGGGCCAGGTACACTGCTCGTTTCTTTGCTGAGCATCAGTGGCAAAAGCCCTGCCGGAGGTCAGCGTGATCGTGGCCAGTCCGGGCAAGCCCTCACCTGTGTGGGAAGAGGAACGCCAAGGCCCCAACAGACAGCAGTGCTAAGTGGTCTACAGAAAGGACTGCAGGCTAAGAGCTTCTCTGTCATTCTGCTGTCTTCCTCACTCCAGAATTCTCTGACCTTAACAAGTCAGAACTTGGTTGTAGTTACCTAGGGGAGAGAAAGGACAAGAGTAAGAAAAGCTCCAACAGGCTCTGGCCTGTAGGACAGACGGAAAAGGGCCATCATCCTAAGAGAAAGCCCTTTACGAAGTGAAGAAGGTCATGGCTACACATTCTCAGCAGGTACAGGGCCTGCTGTGTCCACCCTCTGGTCATCACAGGACAGAAACTGTGGCTCCGCCATGCCATCTAACTGGACAGTTTTGGCCGAGTCACTTGATTTCTCTGGGCTTCAGTGTCCTCATGTGGGAAGTGGGGACACTGAACCCAGGGGTCTTGCAGTGGCCTTAAGGACATCAGCTATCTAAGGCTCAGGTTACCGGAAGTCTTAGAACGCTTAGTCCTTAGGGGACCAGTGAGCTCTGGGTAAGTCCTGCTGGGGAAGGCTCTTGGGGAACAGCTTGGATGCCCCCCCTGCCACCCCTCCCTGCCTGGAGTTGGACTCCTGGGGGGCTGTGTGGCACTGGGACCTGTGCTCTCCAGTGTCTTTGTAGGGCTCATCCTAAAGCTGCTCTCAACCATATTACACCGTCCCACCTCCCCCTTCCTCTGGGCCAAGGACCCTGGAGGGGCCTTGGAGCTTTGAGCCGTGATGCTTAAGATACAGTCCGTTGTCCCCTACAGCACCCCAAGTTCAAGGGCACCTCAGTGATGAGGGTACTTACCCCTGATTAGTCATCCAAAGGACAAGTGTGACACTGGGAATGCTCCCTGGCTGGCTCCCCAGGCCTCAGTGCTGTCCCAGCTTCAGATGACTCCATATCTATGGTTAAAACCCAGGTCCCCCACTGAGTTCCTGACCCAGGTGTCCAAGTGTCACAAAGCAGCAGTGTGGGTCAAACTGATGCCCTGGGTGCAAATCCTGGCTCTTCCAGCCCTTACCAGCTGAGCAACTTTGGACAAGTTCCTTAATCTCACTGTGCCTCAGCTTTCTCATCTGTAAAATGGGAATGATGGCACCTATTTTATAAGCCTGATAGGATTAAATAAACTGTAAAGTGCTCAGCACAGTGTCTGACATAAGAGTTAGGCCTTACTAAATGTTAGCTCTTGAGCTCTTGGAGTAGGAAACCCTGACCACCTCCCACAGGCACACCAAAAATTTCAGCTCTTTACAGAGCCACTATTGATGAGAAAGATTGGAATCTAGAGGAAAAGATCTACAACTAAAAATATAAAGAAGCGTAAGATGGTTAGGAGGGACTGAGTCTGGTTTAGTCAAGACCCACACCCAGTGGGCCTTCCCAGGTGGTTTAGTGGTAAAGCATCCACCTGCCAAGCAGGAAACGTGGGTTCAATCCCTGGGTTGGGAAGACCCTCTGGAGAAGGAAATAGCAAACCACACCAGTATTCCTACCTGGGAAATCCCACAGACAGAGGAGCCTGGCAGGCTCCAGAAAAGGTGGATGACTCTGATATAGAAAGTAGAAATGAAACTCACAGTGCTGGAGAAGACTGTCCAGATGTGTCAGGTGTAACTGTCACATGTAATAATCCACAAAATGTCACTGAAATGACAGAATTTGGGGCCAGCCAAAATAAAAATCGCTAGCCACAGCCATCAGTTTCTGCTAACCTGTCAGTAATAAGCTAACGTTTCCATGACAGAACTCACAGAAGGGGAGTGGAGGGGGGTGCAGAGAACATATTTGAAGACATAACTAAAAACTTCCCTAACCTGGAAAGGAAACAGGCCTCTTACCTTCAAAAAGCATAAAGAGTTACAAACAGGACCAAACCAAAGAGGATCATGTCAAGACACGTTGTAATTAAAACAGCAAAAATTAAAGAGAAAGAGAATATTAAAAGGAGGGAAAAGTGATGAAAGGGAAAAAAAATCTATAAGCAAGAATGCTCTACCCAGCAAGGCTTTTATTCAGATTTGACGGAGAGATCAAAAGTTACACAGAAAAGCAAAAGATAAGAGTTCAGCACCACCCTACCAACCTTACAAGAAATGTTAAAGGACTTCTCTAAGCAAAAAAGAAAAAGCCATACCTAAAAACATGAAAATCCAAGAAAGGAAAAACTCACTGGTAAAGGCAGTTACTTATGGTAAAGGTAGTGAATCAACCACATATAAAACTAGTAGGAAGATTAAAAGAAGTGTAGTAAAATCATCTATATTTGCAATAAGTAGTTAAGGGGACACAAAAGTTGTAAAATATGATGCCAAAAAACAGCAAATGTGGGAGAGGGGAGTAAAAACACTGGGTTGTTAAAATGTATTTGAAATTAAGAGATCAGCAACTTAATTACATACATATAGATTGCTATATATAAACCACATGGCAACCACAAACCAAAACTCTATAAAAGATACACACACACGAGAAAGGAATCCAAACATAGCTCTAAAGATAATCATCAAATCACAAGGGAAAAGAAGGAACAAAAAAAGAACTACAAAAATGCCTCAAAATGATTAAAAGAATGGCAATAAATACAATACACACCTACCCAAAGTCAGTAGAAGAAAAGAAATCATAAAAATCAGAGCAGAAATAAATGAAATAGGAAAAAAATGGCAAAAACCAATGAAACTAAAAGCTGGTTCTTTGAAAAGATTAAACTGATAAACCTTTAGCCAGACTCATCAAGAAAAAAAAAAAAAAGGATATAAATCAATAAAATTAAAAGTGAAAAAGAAATCACAACTGACACCACAGAAATACAAAGGATCATAAGAGACTACTACACAAAAGCAACTACATACCAAATAAAATGGACAATCTGGAAGAAATGGACAAATTCTTAGATTGAACTAAGAAGAAATAGAAATTATAAATAGACCAATCAGAAGTAATGAAACTGAAACTGCAATTAAAAATCTTCCAACAAACAAATGTCCAGGACCAGATGGCTTCACAGGCGAATTGTATCAAACATTTAGAGAAGAGCTAACACCTAACCTTCTGAAACACTTCCAAAAATCTGCAGAGGAAGGAACATGCCCAAGCTCATTTTACAAGGCCACCATCACTGTAATACCAAAACCAGACAAAGATACCACACAGAAAATTACAGACCAGTATCACTGAAGAACATTGACAAGAACATGCTCAGCAAAATACTAGCCAACAGAATCCAGCAACATATTAAAGTTGATCATATAGCATGATCAAGTGAGATTTATGCCGAGGATGCAAGGATTCTTCAATATATGCAAATCAATGTGATACACCATGTTAATAAGTTAACGAATAAAAGCCATATGATCATCTCAATAGATGTAGAAAAACCTATTGACAAGATTCAATACCCATTTATGATTAAAAAAAAAAAACTCAAAGTGGGCATAGAAGGAAACTAGCTCAACATAATAAAGGCCATGTATGACGAACCCACAGCAAGCATCATTCTCATGGTGAAAAACTGAAAGCATTTCCTCTAAGATGAGGAATAAGGTAAGGATGTCTACTCGCCACTGTTACTCAACATAGTTTTGGAAGTTCTAGCCACAGCAGTCAGAGAAGAAAAAGAAAAGAAGTACAAATTGGAAAAGAAGTAAACTGTCACTGTTTGCAGATGACGTACTGTGCATAGAAAATCCTAAATATGCCACCAGGAAACTACTAGAGGTAATCAATGAATTTGGTAAAGTTGCAGGATACAAAATTAACGCACAGAAACCTCATGCATTTCTATACACTAACAGTGAAAGATGAGAGAGAGATATTAAGGAAACAATCCCATTTACCACTGCAACAAAAAGAATAAAATACCTTGGAATAAACCTGCCTAAGGAGGCAAAAGACCTGTACTCAGAAAACTATAAAACATGGATAAATCAAAGATGGCACAAATGGATGGAGAAATATACCATGTTCTTGGATTGGAAGAATCAATATTGTGAAAATGAATATACTGCCCAAAGTAATCTACAGATTCAATGCAATCCCTATCAAATTACAAATGACATTCTTCCCAGAATTAGAAGAATGTTTACAATTCGCACAGAAACACAAAAGGCCCTGAACAGCTACAGTGATCTGGAGTAACCAGGCACCCCCAACTTCAGACTCTGCTCAAAGGTACAGCAATCAAGGCAGTATGATATTGGCACAGAAACAGTACTACCACAAGACCCAGCAGTCCCACTTCTGGGCATATACCCTGAGAAAACCATAATTCAAAAGGACATGTACCCCAATATTAGCTGCTGCACTTTTACAACAGCCAGGACACAGAAACAACCTAAATGTCCAACAACAGATAAATGGACAGAGAAGATGTGGTACAACTATACAATGGACTATTACTCAGCCACTAAGAGAAATGAAATAGGGTCATTTGTAGAGATATGGATGGAGCCAGTCTGTCATACAGAGTGAAGTAAGTCAAAGAGAATAACAAACATTGCATAGTAATGCATATATGTGGAATCTAGTAAAACTGTACAGATGAACCGATTTCCAATGCAGAAATACCGATGCAGACATAGAGAACAATGTGAACAGGAGGGGAAGGGGAGAGTGGGAGAAATTGGGAGATTAGGATTGACACATATACA